ATGTTTTACTTTCGGTTTGAAAAATGTTACTTCCAGTATTATTTGAATGTTTACTAGTATTTGACACTGATTCAAAAAATATATGGTTCTATATACTTTTATATCAAATAAGTACAAAAAAGCTACTTCCGGTTTACACAAGGTCACTTCCGGTTGGCTTTTCCAAGGTCAAATGGCTTGCAACCTTATGCTAAAAGTCCCATGGCTTTATCATGTATACATATGAGGTAAAAACGAATGTCAATATCTAGAACGTCAAATTTACCTATGACCTTGAGCTCAATTTCAAAGTCATAAACCAAGGACCTCAAATCAAAAGACCCTAGGTCTGAATTATATATTAATGAGTTATATCACCATACGCGTATTTTAAATACAAGAGGGGAGAAAAACTCTAATCTAATGTAAGCGTACCCTTTAAACCGAAACGTATGGGTTACGACATGTCGCAACTAACAATTTAGTAAATATATGTTGTCGATATCTTATACGGTGTTTGAAAAAAGTAAAAATAAGCCAAAATCAAAATTTAGAATATGACCTTGACTTTGACCTTGACCATTTTTTCTTTTTTTTTTAACCAAGGACCTCAAATCAAAAGACCCTAGGTCTCTATCACTTATGGTTTACCAGTAACAATTATATTTTACTTTTTTTAAATACAGAAGGGGAAATACCTCTCATATGGAGTCTCCGGACCGCTTCGGTCAAAATTATTTTTAAGATCCTAAGGATATAACGAGCAAAATTGGTGAAATAATTTTGTCGTAATCTTTAACGGTTGCGAAAGAGATGCGCACACAAGAAAAACAGTGTTTCGGGAGATAACTCTTACAATAAAAAGTGTTCGGCTTAACAGGGTCAGTTTCAAAATCGTAATAACTGTTCGTTATTATGCAAAAAATCTAAGCGACATCTTGCGAAACAAAAAAGCACCATCAGAAAAAAGTGGCGAAAGAAGAAAAAAAAAGTAATAATAATAATTAAAAACCAACTGTTCAGAGAACAATTGAAGGTCTTTCCACAATAAAACATGAGTTATATCACCATATGCATATCTTTAAATAAAAGAGGGGAGAAAACTCTAATTTGATTTAAGCGTACCCTTTAAACCGATATGTATGTGTTACGACATGTTTTAAAGTTGCAATAACTGTACGATATCATATGCAAAAAATCTAAGCGACATCTTGCGAAACAAAAAAGCACCGTCAGAAAAAAAGTGGCGGAAGAAGAAAAAAATAATAATAATCAGAAGAAAACCAATTGGTCTTTCCACAGAAAAGGGGAAAGACCTAATAATCAGAACAAATGCAATAGGTCTTTCCACAGAAAAGTGGAAACACCTAATAATAATCAGAAGAAAACCAATAGGTCTTTCCACAGAAAAGTGAAAAGACCTAATAATCAGAACAAAATCAATAGGTTTTTCCACAGAAAAGTGGAAAGACCTAATTACAAGGAATGTAAGTCTATGAAAATTGTTTTGTCTGTCAATGTCTTACGAAAACACAAAGTTAGAATATTATTTGAAAGGACAAACAGGTATAGAATTTTCAAGCTATTATTCTTGAATTGTATCGGCGGCTGTATTTGTTCTTAAAACGATGTTTTTGTATTTTTACTTATTTATATGTTGATGAACATATAATTGAAATAAATATAAGGCACATAATTTTGTACGCAAAACGGCCGTTTCATATAAAAAGGACTAATCAGTCACGCTTGATACCAAAACATTTAAAAGCTAAATAAAGTACCATGTTGAAGAGCATTGGTTGCAAAATTTCCGACATACTTAACTTAAGTTAGTATTTGATAATGCAAAAACATCAAAATTATGGGACAAATTAGGTATGTGTGTTGGTTTTGAGCTTTTGTGTGTAATATTTTGAACATTTGGTTTAGACCTTTATCAGGTATCAGATATCATACATTGATTATTGCACTCCGCATTTTTCATTAAATCATTAAGACTAATAATTTTCACATTTTAATTCGATTGGCAAACCACGCATTTTAATGTTTATAGATTTAATTATCTTGAGTTGATCAATATCGTAATCAACAGGAGATTGGGGCTGTGTGGCAAGAGCTATATATTTTATGTTATATCATTGAAGGTCGTTTGTCGATTTGTCAATGTAAATGCGTAATTGTTTTACTGTTTCGTTCTTTCATTAACCTTTATTCAACATTTTTTGACTTTTAGAAAATATCAGATGTCATTAGTTATATCAGGAAAAACGGTTTTAATTATGTGTTCAATATTCTAAATGTAAAACAATACATTCAAAATGTGTACTTTAATAGTATTGATATATCCGATCAGATATAAATTTAAGATTTCAAGTGCATTCAGAGAAGTAGAAAAGTACACAATAACGGTAAACAGTTTTGACGGTCATAACAAAGAATATAAATTGTTTTGTCTATCAATCCCTTTCGAAAACAAAAAGTCAAAATATTATTTAAAAAGGCAAATAGGTATATAATTTTTACTAAGTAATAAGTTATTACTATTGAAATGTATCAGCGACTGTAGGTGATAAGATTCAAAGGTAGATGTTTGTGTATCTATACTAAAGTATATCGTGATGAAAATATACGTGAAATATTCCAAACGTTTTTCTTGATTTCTGTGAATCTTCTCGTAGCTTCCTAACGTGCAAATATTTTGTTGTGGTTTACTATGTTTCTGTTTACATATCCTCAATCTGACATAGATGTCGGGTGGTTATGTGTTACGACATCAGGACTGACTTAACATTCTGACGTTCCAAGTTTCAATTCTTTGCAGGTTTATGCGATTATTTTACTATTTGTTTATTTATTTGAAATTCATCTGTTCAATCATAGATTATTTACATGTAGGACAAAAAGAATGTAGAAATGTAAACTTTCAAACGCAATCTTAGTATATCCCTTACATTACCGTAAGCAGTGTCTGTAGTGTAGTATCACTTAAATTTCAATGAAAGTAATCTTATTAACTTGCAACCAAAACCCATACGTTAAAAAGAAATGGACAGTACTATTGCAAACGAATAAAAAAGAACAGAAAAGCAAAGAAAAAAACATATACACAGAAAAAATAGTGATTGAGCAACATTGTTCCCACTTAACAATCTATTTCCGAAATGAAAACAGTTCTTATTCCACAAGTGACAACCATCGTGTCACATTTGTTGTGGAATGTTTTTTTTGTGATAAAGAAATATACACTGCCACACTGGTAAATGTTACGTGTCTTACCCCCAAGACATCACCAAATTATGAAATCATCGGTTATTCTTACTTACCGAATACGACGGACATGCAAAACCGTTATTGCTAGAAGCAACAGACATCGAATCCGATCAAAATGCATTGATCGATGGTTGACCAAAAGAGTTGATAACTGGTCTATATATCAATACATGTGAAGTTATGCACTAAAGTTTTGAAAATAAAATCAATCCTAGTGCAGATTAAGACAATATTCAAAGTTTTTACCACGGTTTTAAATTGATAACCGTTGAAAATAAGTTATTTGAAAGACAAATGATTTAAGATCGTAACTAAAGTTACGAGTTCAATGACATAAAAAACCACCCATTTCGTAATTTTTTTGAAAAAAATTAATCAATTCTTTGGGTGACAAATATAACAAAAATACAAAATTCTTAGGCAAATTTAAAAAACGGGAAGTCCATAAAAACTGGCAAAATCAAACGCTATCAATCAACAGAACAAGTGAAATAGGGTAACGAAATCTTTTACTTAATAATTTGCGTTTAAAAAAATTCAAGTTGTCATGCACTACGTTCCTTTTTCACGAATGTGATCTACCGAATTAAACTATTTACCGGGTTTGTACTAAGATGAGCAACACGACGGGTGCCACATGTGGAGCAGGATCTGCTTACCCTTCCGAAGGACCTGATATAACTCCCAGTTTTTGGTGGGGTTCGTGTTGCTTATTCTTTAGTTTTCTATATTGTGTTTTGTGTACTATTGTTCGTCTGTTTGTCTTTTTCTTTTTTAGCCATGGCGTTGTCAGTTTATTTTCGATTTATGAGTTTGAATGTCCCGCTGGTATCTTTCGCCCCTCTTTTAGACACTGTCATAGCGAAAAAGGCCAATAATTTAAAAAAAAAAAGAGTAAACGTGTTTTAAGTGAAAAGAAAACAAGTTTATATTTAAGTTTAACTTTAGTTTAATAATGTCCCTTCTATTACTTTTTTAGATAAATAGTTACACAAATTGCCAAAATCGAAGCACCTTTTTGTTGGTTCACTGCTCAGTACTATGGCAGCATAACCTACCAGAACATTACACTGTGAAGATGTAAAAGATTTCTGAAATGTTAAGTACTTTTAAACAGCGAAACAATTGAGACTGTTGGGTGTGTACTGATTTATACTTTAGTCTTGGGCAACATGATTTATTTATTTCTTGTAATTGGCTTTTATCTAGCTCAACAGGACAGATATGAAAGTTACTTGATATATTACAATGAATCAACAATAGAGAAAGAAAAATACGCAGGGCTTCCGATAAATTAACAAGATCTTGTCCTAGCTTAACAAAAACATAGAAAAACGGATATAGTATTCAAGTATTGTTATATTTGTTCTATTTATTTTAATAAAGTTAAAGAAGATGAAGATAGATAAAAACTTTGTTTTTACACGAAATTCACATATCTTTTCCATTTTTTAATAAAATCTTAAAACGAATATCAGACATACTCTTTCACAATTAAAATATTCTAACATTACATTGAAAATTTAATTATTTATTCGAACCGTTAACGTTCCATATGGTTGCTTATAAAGTGTTTATGAAAGTCGACGAAGACGGCTTCAAAGATCGCACAATGACTTCGAATTTTAATTCAATAATATATTTTCATTTGTTGTCAGTGACATTGAATCTCGTTTATAGATAACCAATCAGAATATTGGTATACGCGAAGTCAATATTTATAGACTACGCATTCTTCTTACATCCGAATAACGAACATATAAAAGGAAAATGTGGATGGTAATTCTAATTGAATATTATATTAAATTTGCTAATAATCGCACATGAGGAATAACACATCCAATCACAATGGTAAGAATTACGTTTCTTGTGATCATTCTTTCCAAGTGAATATAATGAATGTTCTCTGATTTGCACATTAATCAATTTAGCCATATAGGTACTATATTTAAGACATTATATTTTCTGAGTACTACAATAATTTCTAGTGTTTTTATATGAAATTTGATTAATTATATATTCATTATTAAACAAATAACATTACAATTGGTTATTTATTAATAAAATATTAAAGGAACAATGGGAATTATACAAAACAAATTTCATTGCATAACATGGGTACTACGAAGAGTCTTTGTGTGCAATTTATGCCATTACTCACAAATTGTTTTTATGAAATGCTTGACGTTCAAACAAATACTCCTTAAAAACGGACATGTATTGAATATTTCATAGCAATTTTGTTAAGTAGGTTCTTTTATGTAAAATCAAACTCATGCCAGAAGGTGGATATTATATTTTTTCTCCTCTCTGCATCCTTCCGTTCGTCCGTCCCGTGCCAAATTCAACTAATATTTAAAATTAACAAATTAGGGTTTGACCCGGATTTTGTGGTTCAATGAACATGAAATTTAGATACTATGAAAAAGTGGGGGCACGATGTCTTTTGGACACTTATATTTGTTTCATATGGTTTGCATATACATGTATATATGGACGTGTATCTTAAATTTTCATAACCGCCTAGGTGTTCTAGTGGTGGCGTTTTCGCCTCGAATGCGGGAGGTCGTCCGTCTGATCATTGGCCGGGTAAGAACAAAGATTTACTGTACGCGGCATTTAGGAGTAAAAGCAAAGACTGTCGGTTCGGCGTACTGTGACATGTGTGACCTAGCACATTGAAGATTCGTCTCAACGTGTCGGTGTAGTAAAAAGCAGGGTTCATATTCATATCATACATGTCATAGTAACATGTTTTCGTCATTCAACTTGCCACTGGACGTTGTACAGCCATGTATCCATTCATCATCAATATTCATTATCTACCCACTAACACATAATCAAGTATGGTTTGCTTCCAAATTATGTAAACTATATATTCAAACTAAATATGAAATGGTGTTCCTACTTGTAATTTGGCGCTTAACAAGGTCGGAATCTCCTGCATTGCATTGGAGGAAAAACATCTAAACGGTAAAAAAAATAAATAAAAAAAAGCGTGCTGTTTTGACTGCATTGTGCATCGAAATCTTATTATTTTATTTTTTTCTATGTTTTTTTTACAAATGACAAATGCACTTAAAAAAATTCGGTGACAACCTATGAAATTATGTATCAATAAAATAGATACAAATACTATGAGTGAATATATTTCAAGTGATTTAACAGATTTTGCCAGGAAATATCGTTTGTATTTGGACTTGTATAGTATTTTAAACTGTCGTTCACATTAAACAAAATGACAGTACAGTCCCCAATCGAGCACACCTTCTAAAATACAAATTTTTATCTTAAATGCAAAATACCTGTTTTTCGTTCATTTTAAAGAAACGTGTATTCGTTCTCGCAGTAATGTTGTCTTGTTGTGTACTCACATACTAGTTTTAATAGGATGATATGGATGTCTGAGGTAGTTTTTTAGGGTCCCGATTTTCAATTAGGAATTTACTGAATATATAAGTTTTGAATTTACTAATAACCTGTTTAATTTAGAGTTTACTTTACAGCGTGGTCACTCGGGTAATGGTTCGAGGCCGTATATCTACCTCCAGATGTCTTCTCTTTTGTTCTTAGGAGACCCTGGTTTTGGCTTTTGATTTAAGAATATTTTTTTTTTTTTTTTTTTTTGATTTAGTTTTTATAATTATTAAATGAGAAATTCAGTTATTTTGAAGGCGAACTATAATCATTTAAAAAAAATCGGGTTTTATGTTATATGGTTTAGGTGAACAAGTTCTTCTATGAGCCTTTACGTTTCTTTATAATGGAACATTCATCTGCATAGTATATTGAAAACAAGTTGTCATAATCATGACTAAATTCAATCGTTATGATATATATGGGATGCGTGTATATACGTGATCGTATGATAATGCAAATTTTAAGTGGGAATCTTGAGAACCACATGATGATTAAAAATACATGATTTCGATCCTATTTCATCACCTAAAATTATATAATGTTGACAATGTTCTACTGCGTTGTTTTTATAGTCTTTGGAAACTTTGTTTAAACTTGAGCGACGTATTTAAGCAAATTCTTAGGTTGACAATAACCGGTTCCATTAGATCCGTACGTCGAGTTACGTACGTATTTAATTTTATTGGAAATCTCTAATAAGGCTTTGCATTTAAAACCACATAAACAAAGCACCTATCGACTAGAGCATTGATTTTCACAAAAATTTAATTGTATTGGAAACCTTATAATGCTGTGTCGATTTAGAAGCTAGACAAGTAAAACTGTCATGATTATTTTAACTCAAACATAAATTCATATATAAGAAAAATTAGTTTGCGACTAAAACATGTAAAACATAAAAGCTCTGACAACGAAATAAATAGCTAGAAGAGCAACACCAAAGATTACGCCACTGAAACAAAATGAATTGCACAGTTTTTATCATTTATAGTATATGCATACACAGTAGAAGGATTCTAATCTAATTTTAAGTTTATCATTCTTGTTTAAATTGCATATACCATGTGTGTAATATTTATTTTATAATTGCATATGTAATTGAAACCTATATTTCTTTCAGACAAATATGTCTTCATCACTATGTCACAGCGACTCGTTATATAACAGACTGTTTAGTATATTGTCTAACAATACTAATGCATCCAGCTGTTTAACACTGTATTCCAGTACTGAATATCGTGATGTATACCATGCTGGGAGATATTTTTATGCCTATTTTACACCTATTATTATCGTTGTTGGGATACTCGGAAATACACTATCACTTAATGTATTTCTGTCACGAAATCTTCGATCCTTGTCTTCAAGTACGTATTTAGCAGCTCTTTCTGTATCCGATCTTTTTATTATAACATCTTATGTAACGGTTGAATGGCTGAGAAGGGGGTTAACTTTTCTATTTCCTGGAACTAACGTGAGATTTCTTGATGTCAATGGTATGTGTGAGCTTCAGTTGTATATATCGTATGTGTCTCGATTTATGTCATCATGGCTATTGGTGGCATTTACAGTTGAACGATATATTGGCATTTGTTTTCCATTACTTCGGAGAAATCTTTGTACAACGACAAGCACTCGAAAAATTGTTTCCGGAATCTTTTTACTTTCTGCTATCATAGTTATATACAAGCCAATATTAAGTGGGATTTATAAGAGCGATGCTGGTAATGTATACTGCACGGGATCTCCACAACACGGTTTCATATCATTTGTGTTCGATTCAATATTTGCCCTTCTTATTTCATTCGTTCCTTTCGTAATCATTATTGTTATTAATATATTGATAATGAAAAAACTTCTCAGACAAAAACGAAGTAAAAATTGTAAAAGAGTGATGACTGAAGAAAGTACCATCCGTCTAGAATTTACCATAATTCTTTTAGCGCTGTCTATATGTTTCATTATTTTCAATATTCCATATCTCGTTTTGTGGTGCCGTAACTTTCTGACTTCAAAATACGTCACAACATTAAACGCCAGCGCATCAGACGTAAATTTATCTTACTGGCAAGGACTTTTATATTTTGTTCGTACTATTTTCTACATTAATTACTGTATTAATTTCTTTCTGTATTTGATAACCGGCGCATATTTCAGGCGTGAAGTACGAGTGTTATTTTCGTACAAAACTCTAAGAAGAAGTTTAGATCGAAACGTTAAAGATGAAGCTGCATATGCTTGTCTAAGACTGATCTAGTTTTTTTCTAATTTACAGAGACTTATTTGTATACAAGGGTTCATCGGGGAAAAAGGGGGGGAGGGGGCGAAAATAGCAATTACGAAAAAAGAATGTAGATAAAATTGATTGAATATTGTTATTTACTTCTGTATGTATTGATGACATAGAATTCATAATTATTTTTATATATGTCATTAAAACAAATTTTATATTAATTGTTGTAAATTTAATCACCGATATAGTAATTTGTTTCTGGAGAATTAATGTTTATTAAGTAGAACCAAGTAAATTAATACAAAATACGAAAATTTATGGACTAATCTGCCTGCTGATAATTATTTTTAAGCTCTTACGGATATAAGGAATAGGTACTAAAGATCAATCTTCCTCCTTTATTGTAAATGACCATAGAAACAACCACTAACGTAATATACGAAAATCAGGAAATCATAATTGGTTTTCTGCTTTGGAACTTACACGATTTATAACATATTTTTATTTCTAAAATTTTCTGTTACATTAGTTAAGAAATTATGAATGAACTAAGATTCCAACTCAATCAGTCAAAGTTGACCTTTACTTCGTTCTTTTAGTTTTTAACTGGGTTTTCCGAACGCCAAAAAAAAAAAAAAAAAAAAAAAAACAATTCTAAATTGGTGATGTATGGCGGGCGGGCGGCTGCGAATAGTTACCTTGCAAAAACTTATAAACCGTTCAACCAATGCCTTTCAAATTTTTAAATGGTGTTATTTCTGACAAAATGGAGGTCCAGTTTGATATTGACGATTTTCACTTATAACGTTTAGGAGTTTTGGTCCTAGATATACTGGAAAATAGCACTTTATGTTGTTTCCTTTCAGTAACTCATGAACCCCTCTACTTATGGTTTTCAAATTAATATGAGGCAGGCGTTACCTGTGAAAAGGGACGAAGTCTGTATGCATTATTTTTTACATTCAAGCATATTTTAACTTCAGAATCTGTTAAAAAAGAAACGGAATACGGAAATGTTTCCGATGTTGGTCCTGTTGTTAGGGATTTTAGTTGTGACGTCATTTTTCAATGCAAACAAAGAAACGCAATGATTTCATTAGTATGTTGATTGTTATATTTATTTTGAGTTTTATTGATTTGCTTAATGTTATAAGGCACGTTCCAATCATATTTTACTCAAATCCTGAGATAAACGATACCGGAAAAGATTTCTGCGCAGATGCGGAAAAATAAAAAAAGTAAGAAAAAAAAGTTAGTAGATTGATTTTTTTTTCATTGGTTTTTCTACTGTAAAAATATGCTGTTTCAGATGTCACAAATGGAGGTTAAGTTCAATTTTGACGATTTTCATTTTTACTCTTCAGAAATTATGGTCCTTGATCTATTAGAAAAATGAAATTTTGTGTCTGTTTAGTGTAATTTAGAATGAACCACTCGAACATGTATAATTTATTGTGTTGTTATTGATGAAAAAATGAAGGTATGGTTCGATAATGATGATTTTCACTTTTGCCGTCCAGGAGGTATGGTTCTTGATAGAAAAATGGCACTTTATCATGTTTATGTCGTTTTCGTGCAATTATTTATGAACCGTTCAACCAATGCGCTTCAAATTTTGTAAAACAATAATAAGTTAAATACAATATGATGTTGCCATTGCATTCAATGTGTAGATGATAGTTGTTCCTCACTGGTGTTATCTTACATACATGTATCCTTTAGTTATAAAATATAAAAATCATGAGCAATAAAAGTAGAAGTTCATGAATCTAAGACATGGATAACCATCTTTACTGATTAGTTTGAATGCAAGGAAGTAAACTAATTTTAATTCAACTCGATCACCTATTATCTTAACTATATGAATTGAATACACTGATATTTTCAAATTTAATAGAAAGTGGATTTTATTTCAGACTCCCATTTATTTTCAGTTATTCAGAAGCCTTATGTATTTATCAAGAATTATATCGTATTTCCTATTATTTGCTTCAATAGTTAAAATATTTATATAAATTGCCCGAGTCGTGATTAAATACGCTATCACATTTTCATAGGTGAAGTTCTGACTTCATTATGTAATTTGAAAAAAAAAAATAGATTGAAAAGGTTTACTTGTATCTCACAAATTCAATATTTAAATATTTTGATGAAATTAGAATTTTGTTCTGAAATATTAAGGAACTAATTCGAATTAAGAAAATTATATTGAAATTCAAGCTAATGACAATAAATATAGCGTTAATATACTTACACGAATTTAAGACCAAAGTGTTGTATTCATAATAATCGTACTGATTTAACAGAGTTGGGGAAATTGTTTTGTGATATTACCGGAAGTAGACACGCCATTAATCAGCCTAAAACCGATACCATTATATTAAGTTCAGCTCATGTTCCCCTGCGACAGACATCAATGTTTTGCAATCACATGATGCACCATGCTTGTTATATGTCCTACATCGGTACATTATATTTTCTTTTCATATAACTTCATTTATATAACGAACGTATACATATCAAACAATGTTGAAATACGATAAACCAGAAATGTATACAGGGGCAGATATATGAATTTAGAAAGGGGAGGGGGCGACATTCAATACAACAGAAGAAATATCGCCGATCGTAGCGAGACTATATTTTTCAGATCAAAGGGGTTGTACGCCTTCTACGCCACGCCCCCTAGATCCATCACTGGTATATCAACACGAATTAAATGTAAATGATTTGTCTATACAATAAGCTCAGTCGAAAGTTCGAAGAATGTTATTGTTTAGGTTCTACAAATACAGTCTTTTGTAGTTTTTTTTTTAAATTTTCGTCACGATACAGCCCTTTTTGTGCTAATTCGTCGCTCTGGCACCATCAATCGAAAGTGATTTTTTTTCGAAACTTTACATATATAAATTGAACGATCCAAACACCATGAGAACATTATAATAAAAAAAAATATTCCTCAGTCATTAATATGCTTACATTCATTTATGTCGCTATCCTTTTTTTTCTTTCTGACTTAAAAAGTATGATACGTGGAAATCAGAGACAGAAAAAAAAGCAATAGAAGTATACCGCTGTTCAATAGTCATAAATCGATTTAACTAAAACAAATCCGGGTCACAAACCAAAACTGAGGGAAACACATCAACCATAAGAGGAAACAAAACCTAACAACAGAAACACTGAACTGCTACAAAAACAAAAGCCAACATACATAAAAATGGACTATGTGATAACAATCGCCATATTCCTGACTTTGTACAGGACATTTTAAGAAAAAATGGTGGGTTTAACCTGGTTTTATGGCTAGCCAAACCTCAATTATATCTGGAAAAATACACAGAAATGTATTAAGAGAAAATATTTTAACAATTGTATTTCATTTCTGTCACAAACGAATAACAGCTATCACGTGTAGAAGTTATTGTTGTATTTGTTACATAGAACGTTCCTATTCAAAAGTTAGTGTTAAAAACCTTTGAAATATTGCAAAAACAAAAACGTAATATATAAATGAATTAACAGGTACAATTTAATTCAAAAGAGTACTGAACCTTTTAGATATATATATTTGTAGTTTTCCCATTCTTTTATTTTTTCATGTCACTTAAAATATCAGCGGATGGCTAAAACAGTTGTGTACAGTAATTGAGTGGTTGTCGTTTATCATATTTCTTTTTGGTCATTGTTTTGTATAGTTTGTTTTTGTGTTGTGATGATACACCACTGTCGCAGGTATGGGGATGGTTGGGCGCACGTTAACATATTTAGCCCAGCCACACTCTGTATGTTCCTGTCCTAAGTCAGGATCCGTGTAATTCAGGGGATATCGTTTGTTACTGTATATCATATTTTTATTTCGTTGATCGTTAGTTAATAAATCAGGCCGTTAATTTGCTCATTTGGATTATTACACATTTGTCATTCCATGGCCTTTTATAGTTTGCTATGCGTTATTGGTGTAGCTCATTGTTGAAGGATATACGATGACCTATAGTTGCTTACTTCTACGTCATTTGGTCTCTCCTGGAGAGTTCTCTCGTTGGCAATCAAACCACATATTTTTTTTTATATATATAGAACGTATGACAAAATTGGGTATGGCAGCTAAGATATACAAAAAATAATTGGGAATAATATATCTGTATTTGTTTCTTTAGAAAACGTATTCTTTTATTGCATAGAAAATGAATCAACTGTTTTACATTTTTCAGACAGTAGATCAGTATTATAGCCACAATCGATGAAATGAATGCAATCACTATAATTGTCCTCAATGACAATGTGTCTTTGTCTATTTTCTCTTTTGGCACTTTGTTATTATTGATTGTTTGATTCTATTTTGAATGTAATGGTGTAGCCCATTTGTGTGCGAAAAAATGATGTCGAATATATAAAAAAAAAAAACTTGACAGTTTCCTCATTGAAAAGTGTGTTCTTAAGTTAATCGATATGCAAACATCATATTTTCAAATGGATCAATTATAAGTTTGACGCTGTGATCTACATTTTATAAATCTTAATTGAAGTTGTGTTGCCTTATTAAGTCATTTAGTTCATATTACGACATGCACTGCTTGCTTTTTAATTTGAAATGTACCTTTGAAGTGTGTCATCTAATCAACTCACATTAATACTTTTTACTGAATTCTAAATCCAGTCAAGTATTTGTTTGAAGTAGCAATACTCATAAGCTGTTATCAACTTAGCAAACGATCATCAAAGGCGACTTAAACATGTAAAAGAGCGTATGAATTAATTTCAAGAACTTTTTTCTTCAAAAGTTAAAAAAACAAAAATACCGAACTCCAAGGAAAATTCCAATCGGGAAGTCCTTTATCAAATGGCAAAATCTAAAGCTCAAACACATTAAACGAATAGAAAACAACTGTCATATTCCTGACTTGGTACAGGCATTTCCTTATGTAGAAAATTGTGGATTAAACCTGGTTTTAAAGCTAGCTAAACCTCTCATTTAAATGCACGGTTCTTACATGAGTTTGATCATTTGTGCCGCAACACAGAAAGACCGATATGTGCACCTACGAACAACGATTTATAATATAG